CTTGCAAATTCATTAGTCCAATTTATTTGTGTTGGTCATCAAACACCAAAATCCAAAGTAAATGGGCCTATAGTCCATTTTTCTTACAACCCTGAAGATGTTCGGAGGAGTCCACAGGCGGAGACCCAGGAGTGAAGGCATAGGCTCCAGCGGCTCGGGTGGAGGCTATGCTGTCTTCGCCCGAGAGAAAGGGGTCCTCACAGCACCGTGGCTCCAAGATCGGAGATAGGCCTCCCATGGGCCTGAGGCTAAAGCCCAAGAAGCAAAGACGGTGTAGGTGGACAAGACCCGGGATGCCTCAGAAGATTTGTATTGGTGTTAGGATATTCTAGAAATGTACCTTAGCTGTCAAAGGGCAAATTTATACCGTGAAATAATAGCGAACAGTGCCCTATAAAAAAGGAAGCTAGATGCTATGTAAAGAAGGTTGGTGAATACATTAATGAAACCCTAATTGAGCTTGGGCCCACCTTCCATTTCACATACCTTCGCCAAGAGCACCCGGCTGGGCGAAGGCCTTCCATATCCTAACTGCTGGAAACCCCCAGTTTTTCAACACAGCAAAAAAACAAGCGACATTGCATCTCTGGAGCCTATCCTTGGCTGCCGTCCAGGCAAACAAACACGCCAAAAATCCCCCTCCAGATGACTCCGGCGGCCACGAAATCCTCCTCTGGACGGCGTCAGAAGATGGTGCCAAGCGAGAAGCCACGCCAAAATGACGGCGCGAAGAAAAAAAATAGCGTAGGGGAAGGATATGCGCGAGCAGAGCAGCGCATAACTTTACGCGGTTTGGGTGGGTTTTTTCAAGTGCTAAAAGATTGGGAGGATGGATTAAAAGTTGTTGGAGAGTTTTTTTTTAATCTTAAAAAAAATAGGATTGAGAAGGCTTTTAGGATACTCTTTTTTTTAGAAGTACACAGTACAACGCTGACGTTCATAACACGCACGCACAATCACTCCCTATGAACATACATACGCAAACCTATCTCTATGAGCACCTCCGAATGACTGAGCTGCCAGATATCGAGATTCACGAAGTCACCACAGACGCTTCGCTGTCGATGGGACGTCGCCTACCACTGAAAGCATAGCGCCGTTAAATAATGTAATAAATTCAAAAAAATACGAGCATACATACCAAGTCGAGGACTTAGAACCTAAGTAGACAAGTTTCACCGCAGGAAGCCTAACCAACTGATCTATGATCTGTTCGCTTTTAGGATACTCTTGAAGATGCTCTTAGTTTTGTGATTGGTATTAGAAAACATGGGCTAATTATTAGCTCAGGTCCAAACACCCCTTTCGCATTCGTTAGCCATCAGTGGCGTCGAATTTTCTTTTGCACAGACCACATCAGCGCGCGACGAATCAATGCACATCTACCATTTCTCCGTGTTGCCGTATCATCGATCGGACCACTAGCTATCAACTACGATATTGATTATTAATGTGGACGGCCGGGCCCAGACGACGATCCCCGCGAAAGCTACGTGATCGGGCGAGGCGAGCGAGGTCCGATGAAGGCAGCAGCCAGCAGGGCAGCGCGTCCGGCACCTGCATGCACCGCCGTTCCAATGCGAGGCCGAGGAATCCTCGAATGCCTCTGCGTGCGACTCGCACATCACATGGACGGATCATCGATCAGGAAGGGAAACCCAACTCCCCTCTACTTCCCAATTCCCATCCACGTTGGCCATCGTCTGGACTGAAGTGAGAGGTGCCATCGACATCGAAGGTAGGATTCAGAACCCTTCAGGAAAAGCACGTACTTACTACAACGTTTTTTTTTTGGGAGGGGAACGTACTACTACTATGTGGATGCCCACAGAGGAGATCAAGTTAGCATCGTTCGAAATCTGGAAAAACACCGAGACATGATCGACAAGGAACTTCATGCGCCGTTATTCCGGCCCAACGTCCAGCGGCCCAGGCACCAGCTGTCCTTTCACCTCGTTTCTCCCATGGGCTTGCAAGCCATCTCTTCAATGCCATAGCATATGCAGATCCTCAACAGTAAGTACCCGTCAGTGACGGCCACCTCCTCCGCCATCCAAGATTCAGGGGTTGCCTGCTTTGGAGAGTCAGATTCCGTCCTCTTCCAGTGAATCATTGAGGCCAATCAGGCAGAACGCTAGCGTGCCCATTCTGTTCCTCACCGACGTGCGCATCCGTTCTCGGGGAGGAGCTTATGTACCATGTCATGATGTTTCCGAGGAACCAGAGACTTCAGGGACCATTTGTCTAACTACATACCCGGCAGGCTATCTCCGGATGCTATTTGTTTAGTTCCGATCCAAATTCTCAAAAAAGTGTTACGGTGGCTATCACATCGAATTTTACGATACGTGCATGGAGCATTAAATGTAGACGGAAAAAAAAACTAATTGCACAGTTTGGATGGAAATTGCGAGACGAATGTTTTGAGCCTAATTAATCCATAATTGAACACTAATTACTAAAATAAAAACGAAAAGTGCTACGGTAGTCCAAATTTCCAAATTCGAGGATCTAAACACGCGCTCATTTCACCTCGAGGGCCCGATACATAGGGAGCAGCGATACGAGGTGCTTGGGGTCAAGTCAGAAAGGAATCTTTCTCTTATAATAAAACTAAATAATAAACCTGTCCGTACATCTTAGATAACCTGTCCTAATATGTTTTGGCAGGGCGTGCACTCTTCTAACTCGAATTAGCATACGCTATGAGTGGATGGACGGTAAACCAGTTAGAACTTTAATCTCTAATATATCACGTACCACTACTCCTAGTAAAACTGGCTATAGTGAAAAGACACACGTACTGCTTTTAGTAAAACCGGATAGGACTCTTATGCTTTTGGAGAGTAGAGGGATACACAGGCAGTGAGAGTACGATGGACCAAAATTTGCTAGCCCAAAATATGAAAAATAATATTAGGCTAGCAACTGATCCTCCAAGACATTTGCATCATTTTTCAGTTCACCGCTCAATCAAGACGTGCTCTTAATCAGAACTAGGTCATGTTGGCGACTCCACGACCCCCACCCCCACCCCTCCCCATCCCCCTTGTCGGCGATCATGCTGGTTGCTGGTGATCCACCGGTGACTGCTGGGCGGCCATGGGATCCTCGTCGGATCTAGCCTCTCGCCTAGATTTTAATCTGGGATTTGAGTTCCAGGACGATATTCGTCAACGCTTCAAGTCGCTGGTACATCATCCTCACCACTCCCCTGATAGATCTTTCTTCCTCCTTGCAACTTTCCGCACGGTACCTTTTCCGCTTGACGGAGGACTCGGTTTCCCTCTCTTTGCAATCTTGTTTGGCAGTCGTGCCTTGGATTTTCATGTCAATTTCTTAAGCAACAATCATTTTCGCTTCCTAGTATTCTCCAAGCAAGTGGGTTTCCAGATTTACAAGTTCCGATGTGTTATCAATTCATGTTTCAATGTGTATTTTCATCTCTGGAACAATTGTACTCCCCACTGGGAGCAAAAAAAATGTGTGCTTGGGAGATTGAACAAGAGAAAGAATGGACTATCGTTCTCTTCAAATCATCCAAGCGGGCGGCCAAAAAGTGAGACAATTCTCAAAATCATGTTCGTTTCGCCAATAAAATTATTCAATATCCACTAAAAGTTAGGTTTCAACTTTCAACCACTATCTTTTGCCGCATTCACCAGCCAAATTGATCCTTCGGTTGGTTTTAGAGGTCGTTGGATCTTTGATTCTAGTCCTTCTTCCTGCTCTCCGGCGAGATCTGACCTCCGGGCCTCCGGGGAGATCCGTCCGCTACGTCAATCATCAAGCCGATCATCACGGCGGGTTCCCCTGATTAGAGCCTTTATCCAAATTCAAATTCAAACTCTTTGGACTGGGCCGCGACGTGTTCTGCTATTTTTTATTGGGCCACAGTTACACTTCCTACATATCCAAAGTGTGGTGTGCCTACGTTTCAACTGTGGGCATATGAATAAACGTAGGATCACTAAAGCCCAAACCAAGCTAATCTGGAGGCCGAAAATCCTGCTCCCAACGCTCTCGAAGATCCCCTCATGAAACATATCCTCCCCTGGAACAAGCGCCTCGGTTCCCACGCCGGAGTTACAGACCCTTCACCTCCCCTAATTGGTGAACAGTTGCAGCAAGATCATCCAATAGGTCCGCAGCCCTCAGAAACAGAAAACCCCAATCCTGCCACTGCCACTGAGAGCGATGACGACTCCATGGCAAACTTCCCGGTTAACCTCAACCCTTTCCTCGTCGCCGATCTTGTGATGGAGCATGGCTGGAATCGCACAGCGCGCGGTAGAGTTGCACTTGGAGGCGAAACGCCGTGTGACCACGAAGACTATGCCATCGTTACCATCGAGCCTATGCCGAAGGAGGAAGATCAACTCCACCCAACTCTGAACTTTGTCATCCAGTTTCTCGAGGATGTTCAAAGGGTGCGTATCCTCCCTGCTCACATCTCACTGCTTGGTCTTGGGTTGATCAAATTGCACTCAGTTGCCTAGCGCGATCATCTCTAGTTCACAACAGTCCGTACAACCTTGGTCAAGGTCATGCTAGTTTATGCCTTGACGGAGGTGGAAGACGACTCGCGGGGACAATATGGTCTACTCACCTCCCTTTCTCTCTTCCGAACCACAAAAATGAATATTTTAATTAATGGTGCAGTGTCCAGCGGTAAATGACCACAATTCCACGATGGTACTGAACATATTTTAGATTTGACGGTGTCTATCGGGTCCAAACAGACCTGAACCCACCCGTCCAAAGTACAGAAGAAAAATAAGGCCCATTACAAAAGGTATACCTCCCGGGCCAAAAGATTAGTTTCATTTCCCTCCGAAACAGAGATCCGCATTTGATTTTTCTCTCCTGACCTAGTGACCTCTCGAGATTTCCCATCTCCGGTAAGCCGCGCGCGCAGCTCGAGCAAGAACAATCCCCAATCCCAAATCCTAAAGATTCCATTCCACACCCCTCTAGATCCCGTTGTTTCACTGCCCACCATGGCCTCGCCTGGCACGGACGACGACATCGGCGACGAGCACCTGTTCGACGGCGTCCGCTTCTTGCTGGTCGGATTCAACAGCGATGACGCGTCCCAGGTGCGTGCGTGGCACCCCGCGCCTCGTCCTCGCATTTTGTTTTCGTAGCCCCAGTTTGGCTGCGGGACGCGACGATCTGGCTGATAAAGTTCCGACGGCGTCCGTCGTTCCGTGTGCAGTACCGGTCGGAGATAGTGCGGCGCGGCGGCGCCGACGCCGGGCCGTCGGGCAACGGGTGCACACACGTGGTCGTGGGGAACCGCATCTACGTGAGTTTGGTTTGCAAATTGGTTCCTCTGTGTCTTGGCAAGCTTGGGTGGGGGACGGGGCTCTGATTTAATTCTTCTTCGCAGGATGACCCGACGTGCGTGGCCGCGCGGGCGCAAGGGAAGAAGGTCGTCAACGGGCTGTGGGTGGAGGACAGCTTGGATCACGGGGTGCTTGCTGATGCTGATAGGGTCAGCTTTTGGTGCTAATTGTTCGGGCACTTGTGCTCCCGTTTCTTCATCAGAGCCACGGTTTAGTTTTGTGACCCATTGTGTTCAGCATTTTCCAGGTTATGTATTGGCCGATGAGACATTTGAAGGGAATACCGGGTGCTCAATCATTGCTTATATGCTTGACGGTTACCAAAAAAGCTATCGTGAAGACATGATGGTAGCACCCTCCCAGTTTTATCAATATGGTTATGAGTGTAACCATTTCAAATAATAGGATATATCCACATCCAAAGTTTATACAGTTTGACTGCACAGAACTAAAAAATGCCACCTTTTTGGAACCGGAAGGAGTAGACACAAAACGTTACTTGCATTTTTTTTTTACATTCTGCATTCAAATAAGAAACTAATGTGGTGTGTTCACGCAGAAGCTCTTGGGTACTGTAGTTGTGCTTGAGACTTTATTCTCCTATAATGTTTTGACGCAGAGAAGGGCGGTTTTGGTGCAAGCGGTAGAGTCTTACCGCATGTGACTGGAAGGTCCTGGGTTCGAGTCGCGGTCTCCTCGCATTGCACAGGCGAGGGTAAGGCTTGCCACTAATACCCTTCCCCAGAACCCGCACAGAGCAGGAGCTCTCTGCACTGGGTACGCCCTTTAATGTTTTGATGCAGAAAATGGTTTCCTTGATGGGAGCACGGTTCTCAAAACCTTTAATAGCAAATGCGGTCACTCATCTTATTTGTTATAAATTCGAAGGTGTGTTGTTTCTTTTATCAGTCAAACCGTGCAATACATATAGATATTATGCTGAATTTTGTTATAACAAGCATTTCACCTGTTGCTCTTTCCTCTCATGTAGTTTCTGTACCTGTCTACCAAACCTAGGCCTAACGTTTGTGTGTGTTTGTGTGTGTGTGTGGTGGTGGTGGTGGGTGGGTGGGTGGGTGGTGGGTGGGGGAGGGGGGGGTGTTACGGGGATATGCGTTGGCCACCCATGCCCAAACCCAAAGCTAAGGTTAAGCTGATAGGGAAAGGGGGGATTGACTTATATACTTCAACATAGGCGACCAAGAAAATGTAGAAACAGATTGTCCCAGCTTCAGGAACCAATGGTGCTCAGCCGCTCACAAATATCAAGAGAAGCAGCTGAGCTATGGATAAAAATTGGACAAATGGATAATCTGTGGGTATACCCATACCCTAATTGGTAGATCGATTTATACCCATGCCCTCCCCATTGCACATGGGTATGTATCTGGGGACTGGGTACAAATATCCAACGGCAGGACTAAACAAAGCTATCCTTATATTGGTTTCATCTACTTTAATGTGAGATGCACAATGCTCTTTCTAATAAATGATTCTAAACATTAGTTAAGAGTCTTATATCTAATTAGTAATGGAGCTATGTTTCTAAGTTTGTCCATAATGTACATTTATAGCTCATCATTTGTGTTTTTGGTTGTAGAATTCATTGGTTCCATAACAGTTTGGACCTTTCTCCTGTTTAATTTGTATGTGAAACATACAAAGGTTTAACCTTATGAACCATGTTTTGTATTTTTGTGATACTGGAGGAAATTTGTAACTTATGTCCAGATGTTATTTGATGTTAGAAAGCATCCAAAAAAAACTTCAGCGAAGTAATCCAACAACATAATCATTATGTCTATGAGATGTCTGTTTTTGGTCATTTATTTCTTTGACTATGCGTATACCATGATACTAGATAGTTTTGTTATGTGCGGTTGAATTTCATACCTTGATTTTCCATATAATGCTAGGTGACAAGTATGAGGTTGCGAAAAAGGTGAACATCAAACTTGTTAATCACCGGTGGTTAGAAGACTGGTATTTCCAAAACCACCTTTCCTGATTTAATAGAAAGTCAATATGTTAATCGGACTGCTTATGTTTTGATTCACCCTCTTCATTATTTCAGCTTAAAGGCATGTAAAATTCTCCCGGTCAGTGATTATAGCAAAAGGTAAGTATAATTGCAGTACTTGTTCTCTGTTTTCTCTTTGAATTTCCTGGTATTTTTTTTAAATCCCAGTAAGATCTGGTCCCGTCCCGGTATAACAATTTAATAGAATGCATTGAAAACTAATTCCACAGTGGTTGGGAGCTAGAGTTAATGGATGCACAAGCCATTGACTCTGAACATGAAGCAGAAGCATCAGATCCAAGGTTATTGAACAATAGGCCCAGTGTCAGGTGCGTTTTTCAACTGAAAAATTACGAGGAACTTTTACCAAGCCTGTCGATTTATCAAAGTGACCATCTATCATTCACAGTGGTAACAGAGAGGTAGTGGCAGGAAGGAATTTGAACACTCCTGTTCATATCATAAATACAGAAGATGCAAACACCAAGACACTTGATATTAGAGGCCAAAGCAGTGCCAACTCTATGGTTGCAGTTTTTGCTAAGGTTGATGTCTTTGCACCCATTCAAAGTCCTTCTGTTCATATCATGAATATAGAAGATGCAGACAGCAAGACACATGATATTACAGGCCAAGACAGTCCTGACTCTCGTTTATTGGCAAGTTCTGCTAAAGCTGATATACTTGCACCCATTCAATCTTCTGGTGAAAAGAGAGATATAGTAAGGAACACGAATAGCCCGAATCTGCAGGAAGTTAAAGAAAAATATGTTGGTGCAAGGACACAGGACCTTGCAAGTGGTGTTCTAGGTCCTCCAAGCACAAGCAAAATGACTGTTTTTAGAAATCATCATGTAGATACCTTAAATGGGACCCTGGGTATTCTAAAAGGCCATACAGATCATGTTTGTGGAAAATATTCTGCCTGTCATGATCAAACTGATGTTGCTGAAGTCTTATTGACCAGCCCTTTGAGAGGAAATCAGTCTGTGGATGAGCTTGATTCATCAAAAGTTGACAGATGGCAACATCAGGAGAAGGATGGACCCTCAGATATTCATATCGCAGCAGCTGATCAGTTAAATGCTGATGCCAAGCTCAACAATCATGAGTCCAATCCAAAACCTGGCGGTGATTCCATGTCCAACAACATCAAGAACACAAGTAATGATAAAAAGGCCTCTCGGAAGTCATTTTTACAGGAAGGGCATTCAGTTAACCATATGGCATCACCTCAGAGGGCTGAAGAAAGCACACTGAGAGGTTACCCAATATTTCTACATTAGAAACGGGACACCAAAAGGTTGTTGAACATGCTGATGTTCAGAGCATTGAAGGCAATGAAAACACTAAGAGTGAGGATGGACTAGATGGTGCATATGCTCAGAAAAGGAAGAGCTTAGTCTCCCCAGCTAGCTTAAATTTGCAAAAGAAAGATCTGGTGTCAGAAACTGGTCCTTTAGATTCTCCATTTGTGAGTAGACTGAGTGATGCATCTGAAACAGCAAATGTTTCATCTGAAAGGATAAATCTAGTTGAAGCTAATGCTGTTAATTTGGGAAAGCAACACTCTAGCTTTTCTACAAGCAGACAAACAAGATCTAGGAAGACTTCTCTCAAGCATGGTGGTCCCATCAGTGGAATCAAGCTTCCTGAATATTCATCAAGTGATAAGAACGTAAAATCTTTACGGAAAGCAAGAATGTCATTCAAAGCAACGGCAGAAAGTAAATGCACCATGAGTTCTTCAGCCACTGTTTAAGATGGAAAAACAAGTGCAGGCTTTCAGTTTCAGAATAAGGATGGGGAAAGTACACAAACTAGTGGTAATGCATTGAATGAGATAGGAAATGCCTGCACAAAGGATCAGGCACATGAAAAATCTGTACACAGTTCAAGTAATTCACAAGTTGTGCCCTCTTATGGAAATGCTGGCAACAGGATAGCCGATCCAGTCAAAGTGAATGGTAATGAAGTGGCAGTGGCATCAAATTCTGAACTTGAGAAGGTGGTGTCTGATGCCACTGTGAAAGAAAGCACAAAACAATTTCAAGACACTTATAGGAATGTCCAGGCTGAAACGAGTTATTCAAAGAAAGCACCAGCTACTATAAGAAGGAATGCTGGTGTCAAGAGGCATCGGAGTGCTAATATTGAGTCTGAAGGGTCAGTTATCAACTGTGATAAGAAAGTTGTTCCTGAATCCTCGCTTGCCAAAGTGATTCATCATGAGCATGTTGATCCAGTCTCTAAAAATGGCTACAGCGCAGCATGTGCAGCTGAACTCAAAACAAATCCTCCAAAGAAAGCACCGATTTGTAGTGTGACAGAGACTGTTGCAAAGAGGACACGGAGTGCTTGCACCAAGATAGATGATGCACGGGTAGGTTCTAGTTTGGAGTTCAGTAAAGTGATGTCTCAAGAAAATATCAAGATAACCCCCCCAAAAAAATCTTGATACTGCAAATGCTGATGAACAACAAAGAAATTCACCTAAGAAAATACCAAATTCCAGAGTACGGAATAGAGCTGCGAAGAGGTCATGGAAATCTGACACCAACATGAGCAACGATACATTAATGGTCAAAACTGAGACAGTGGCTGCTGGTTCATTGTTTGATGACTGGTTTCCCTCAGGCAATGTTGAAGATGAAGATTGGCCTAAAAAGATTTCTAGTCATGGAAATGTTAATGACTGTGAAACACTTTCTCCCAAGACCGTATCAAATGCCAGAATTAGGAATGCAGCTGCCAAGAGGAAAATAAAAACTGTAGAAGACAAGTCTGGTGGCAAGTTTGGCAAAATTGGTAGTGCCATTACATCTGAAACAACAGCTTTTTCATCAAAGAGAACCGAAGGGATTTCATGTAATATCAACAAAGTAACTGCTGATCCAGACTCCGAGAAGTCCAATAAGGATGTGAGGAGAGAGGTATCTGGACTGTTTTGCCAAGATTCTTGCACGATAGACAAGCAAGGACCATACAATTCTAAGTTGAGAAGCAGCAAAAGAAATAAAGCTCTGACTTCAGCTCTTGAAAAGGAGAACAGACTAGGCTGTAGTGATCTCAACTCTAAACCAAATAGAACTGGCAGTTTGTGTTCCATATCTGATGCAAAATCAATGAATGAAAGCACACTTGTGCTCAGTAAGCACCAAAGGGAAAAAAGAAGTGAATCTGGAGCCTTGATCATGAGTGAACCTGCATTATTTATTTTAAGTGGAAATCGTCAGCAGAGAAGGGATTGTCGCTCAATACTTAGACGCTTGAAAGGACGAGTTTGTAGGGATTCACATCATTGGTCATACCAAGCAACACATTTCATCACTCCAGACCCTCTGAGGAGAACCGAGAAGTTCTTTGCAGCTGCTGCAGCAGGCAGGTTAGGACTATGATGTAGGTTACTAAGAGTTTACAAACTTTCTTGTTTCAAAAAAAAGACTTTACAAACTTTACATCTTAAAGTACTTATTAACATTAATTATATGACCATTTATCAGTGAAAGATATGGATGTGAATATGGCTTGCTTGAACATATTAACTTTATTTGCTAGTTTATTATATCAAAATTTTATCGTACTTTGAGATTGTGTGGCAAAGTTGTCTTCACAAAACCTGAATGCTCACAGCTTCTTTCTCCAATTAGGTGGATACTCAAGAGAGAGTACTTGACCTCGTGCATTGAGGCTGGCAAGTTCGTGGATGAAGAACCATTTGAATGGTTTGGTACAGGCTTTAATGATGGAGAGACAATCAGCTTTGACGCTCCCAGAAAATGGCGAAATATAAGGCAGTAGATGGGTCATGGTGCCTTCTACGGAATGCAGATCGTTGTCTATGGACAGCTCATATCACCAACTCTGGTAATAATTCTTTGCTTATAGTCAACTCATTTGACAACAGCCTTGTGACACTAAGGTGCCTGAGGAAACTAGGGTCGCACTATAGGTCAATCGCCTATTATCTTATATACTTTGGGGTTTGACTTTGTTTCGCATTTTCTAAATCTAGAGTTTCTCTTCTTGGCAGGACACAATAAAGCGTGCAGTAAAAGCGGGTGATGGTGTCATTTTAGCAACATCGCCGCCATACGCTCGATTCCTAGACTCCGGGGTTGACTTCGCCGTAGTATCAGAGACCATACCAAGAGCAGACGCATGGGTTCAGGAGTTCATCGGTCACGGTATTCCCTGTGTCAGCGCGGATTATCTGGTTGAGTACGTCTGCAAGCCTGGCCAGCCCCTCGACCGGCATGTTCTCTTCAAGACGAACCACGTGGCCAGCAAGTCCCTTGAGAAACTCATGAAGAACCAGCAAGAGATGGCCACGGTTAAGTCAGAAGTGTCGGAAGACGACGAGGACGATCCAGAGGACCTAAGTTGCTCGGTGTGCGGCCACAAGGACCGGGGAGACGTGATGCTGATCTGTGGCGACGAGGACGGTGAGATCGGTTGTGGGATCGGTACGCACATCGATTGCTGCGACCCTCCGCTGGACGCTGTCCCCGATGACGACTGGCTGTGCCCCAAGTGCGCCGTACCCAAATCCAAGACGAAGCGTACTACTAGAGGCACTGAACGCAAGGCCAGAGGAGGATCCAGGCGAAGGTGATCTTTCTATGTACCGTGGATTAATCGCACACCCTTCGTTTATTTATTATTGAACAGAATAATGCACTAATAATTGGAGACATTGTGTGTTTTCGGAAATGCTGGCTCAGCATTTCTTTCGTCATGAATCCATGCTTCTGCTGTCTGTTCTCGTTTTGTAAGGCTTTTATACGGAGCGTTTCTGTCTGTTCTCATTTTGTAAGGCTTTCTCCTGAAGTCCAGACAGACGACTGCATGCATGTGCGTTGGGCCGAGAACACCTGAACAGCCAGTACAAACTTGTGGGCTGGGCGCTAGCTTGGACCTCTGGCCTGGGCCACTTTGACTCTTTCCTTTTAAACTTTTTTTTTCTGAAAAGGGACATTCCATTATATTATTATTTATTAAAAAAATATATAAATCTGGAAGAGAACCAGAGCAGTGCCAATACGGCGGCGACACGTCTGCGCTACGCGGCGGGGGGCACTGTGGCGTCAGGCGTGTCCCTGCACTACACAGGCTGCAGATGCAGGGACGCAGTTCGTCACACGGTCTCATGATTACCGCTCTCCTCGCTTTCAACAGCCTTGGCCTTTTCATCCGAATCCGGGCGTGCCATCATGAGACCGCACGAGCACAAGCGCACGCCGCTCGCCCGATTCGGGAAACCCTCCCCGTCCAATCCGCCTCCCCGATCGAGCCGGGCACAACGACTTGGCTTTGGAAGCAAGGGAAGGAAGAACGGAGCAGCCGCGAGACGATCGTCGACGTCGATCCCAACAAAGGGAAGCGGGCAGGTGGTTTGGCACCAAAGCGATGGACCGGCTGCACTGCATTCTTCCCGTGCACGGTGGCTGCACCGATGCGGCAGTTGGGCACCAGGCTTTCTCTCTTGTTTCTTCGGGGCGCCGCCATCTGGTCTGGTCTGCCGATCGATCATCCTCATCCTCATCCCTTGGCTCGGCCGCACTCAAAGCGGCTGCCCAGGAAAGCCGGTGCAGCCACCAGTGGACTCTCCCCCGCCGGTCCGCCCGGCGCATGTGACGACGCGAAGGAACGCCATGGATAAAAAAGATGGTGCGATCCTTCCCTTCCATTTGCAGTTTGCACTCCATTCCCACTCGCTGCTCTGCTCTCATCCCGGTTATTGAAGAGGAGGCAGAAAAGGGGGGCAGTAAAGATGGTTCTGGCCCGGAGCGCAGGCATGCGCGCCCGCCCGCTGGAACAGCCCAACGGAACAGAGCAGCAGGCAATAATAATTTTGGCACAACTTGGTGCTGAGCCCAGGCCGGGCCGTGAACGGAATTTGCATCGACCTGTCAAGGCGCCCATGTGCTGCCTCCTGACTCCTGAGAGCTCCTCCCTTCCTCCAGCCACCACTACAAGCCGCTGCCTCCCGTTGGAACGGAGTGGAATCCGATGCGTGCGTCACAATCATAGTATGATGGGTCTCCTCAGTTGATGCTAATAAGTAATAATAATATAATCCGCGGCTTTTAGCTGCGAAAACCAGCTCGAATTCAAGCGACAAGCAGATCAAAAGCATGCGTGCGGTCTGCAGCGTGGAACTTTGCCAGCCGAAAAGGCCCTTGTGCAATTCAGCGGCTCATTATTGGCTGGTCTGTGTTCACATCTGACGTCCAGCGTACCTACGACCGTTTTTTTTTCTGGATACGAGGGTTAGCTCAGTTGGTTGAGCGTAAACATACGAGGCTTTTACACGTATCTCATTAAAAAAGTTTGCAATTACATATAAGTCATTAAAAAAATTGAGCTCCCACGAGTGTCATTGTTGTAAACTTTTTTTCTCTTCAAACCATTCCGTCCGCTTTTCTATCTGTTGACACCGTTTTTTGCACGTGTCAAAATGATCAGAGTGGGCTAATCGGCAGGAGGAAAGTTACTGTATACGCTGACAGCCGATGAAAATCAGCTTGTAAAGATGGTTGCCGATGAATGGTGGTGATCGATGGAAAGATTGATTTAGACTCGGGCGTTGCCGATAAGGTTGGAGATGTTAGTGTCGATACCGATGAAGGAAGGTTTGAAAACTACTGCCGATGAAACAGGAAGTATGCCGATGGAAAGGAGGTCGGTGAGAATTCCATCGTAATTGAGGCGGACAGGGAAATAGATAGGAGTTGATTTCCTTTTCTATATTTGTTAGAGTATGATTTATGTAAGAGTCACGTGTTTCCTTAGATATAGACTTGGTGTCCTAGTCGTATTTGGTTATGTCTCTTTAGATCAGGGTATAAATATAGATTGAGGGGCAATGTAATAAAAAAAGATCAATCAATATCAAAACCAATTTTTACTCCTATTTGCATCTACTTACTTTTCGGCGACTTCGTCAATTTGCATATTTCTTTTTCTTTTTACGAGTTCTCATTGATTCGGCGAGTTGCATCGCTTCAGTGCGACCTTCGACGATTCTCGAGTTCCGCGTGAGTACCTCTTGGCCGTGACTTCCGGGCGTATCGCTGTTGTCAGGACCAAAGTGCTTGTATCTTCATCCTTGTCGATTAACAGTCAAATCGACCGCACGCTTTGGATATCGATTCGGTATTAGCCCTTTGTGTTTGCGAGATCCACTTTTGCATCAACACATCTTTTGGCACGCTGGTGGGACCAATCAATCCGATCAATATGATCAATTCGAGATCGATTCAGGGAACATTATCGCGGTATCGTAAGAAGATCTTAAGGAAGAACGAGGCGAGGCCATGGAAAAGGCTATAGAAGAATACAGCAGACTTTATCTCGAGATCGTTTAGCTTGAACAAGAGTGGACAAGTCATCCGTAAGCAAAGATTTGCCGCTTGCCTCGGCGAGTTACCTTTGACTCAATCTGATAAACTTCAAGAGATGGTTAATTCTGCGATAAATCATGCTTTGATTAATCATTCCAATGTCTGTCCAATACTGCTCATAATCTTTGTGGTTCGAACTCTCAAAGAAGGACAAGCGTCACCGCATTACGTTGGGCACGCCTATCACCAACCGAGCCAGCATCTGTCAATACTCCATCGGCTTCCTCGGCCGCTAGGGTACAGAAGTTACTTCTCCTCCAAAGATGTCGGTGAGGCTTACCTAATATTCAATCTACACCGATACGATCGGATCCGGTACTACCGGACGAGTTCAACTTAATACGATCTATCGGCATCGGCTATGTCGGCCCTCGTGTGTCTCGTAATAGCCGATTCCTCGCTAATTGGTGGGGATATGGTATGCCTCCCGAGTCATCTGCTTTCAATCTGGGGTTACCTCAAGTGTTTGATGCGATGGGAAAAGCTCCTATACCATCGGGCCGTTTTACCGATGGCTCAAGTGCCTCAATATGCCACAAAGAACTACCGTGCAACCAACTCCGGGAGTTTTCCGGATGCCTTTGGTTCAAACACCCAATTCAAGTCCATTGGCAAGCTTCTTCGTCGATGCAAAGAAAGCCCCTGCTATGAGTCAAACTGGGGTTCGATTCATGCCTCAAGTCGTTATAATTATCCAACAATATCAACAAATTACCACCATCGGTAAGTTTTGTACCGATGAGTTCTAATAATGGTTGGTCGGGATAGTTACTGCTCAACATACGATTCAAAGAAAATCAAAGAAGTTGCGAGGATTCAACAAGGTCATATGCAAGTCGGTTTCGAGAATCAAGCATCGGCTCGGTACCGATGAATCCTTTCCAATGAGGTTAATGGACTACAAGTAACGGCAAATATGCCGATTCTTTGGAGATCGTGGGCTACAAAGATATGTGGAGGGATATCGGCAGTACCTCCTGTAGAAATTCAGCCACCTTAAATCGTGAGGAGGCTAATGCTTTTTGGCCGATAAAGATAGCGAAAATCATGAAGGATCGTTTGGGATAAAGCCCAAGGTCAATATTTATTCTTATCGGACTCCATACCCTCCTGCATATGATTTAATTCCTCTTCCAAATCGGTACAAGGTACCAGATTTCACTAAATTCTCTGGGCAAGATGATACATCAACAATGGAACACGTCAATCGCTTCATTATTCAATGTGGAGAGGCAGCTAGTAGAGATGAATTAAGAGTTTGATTATTTTCATCATCTTTATGCGGATCGGCATTTACATGGTTCATTTCATTACCACCAAATTCTATTATTACTTGGGCTGATCTAGAAAAACAATTTCATAAGTATTTCTTTGCTGGAATCCATGAAAAGAAGCTTACCGATTTAGTAAAATTGAGACAGCATAATGATGAATCGGTAGAAAGCTTTGTGCAAAGGCTACGAGATGTAAAAAATAAGTGCTACAGCCTGGTGCTGGATGATCGGCAGCTTGCCGATCTGGCTTTCCAAGGGTTATTGCCACATCTTAAAGACAGATATGCTTCTCAGGAGTTTGAAAGCCTCAGTCATCTTGTGCAAAGGATCTCTGATCAAGATACTAGGGTTTTTGAACCTAAAAAGAATTGGAGTAAAAAAGTATCATTTGTTGAAGAAGTAGGAGATTCTGATTCTGATGAAGAACCAGTTATCGGCTTAGCTGAGTGGGTTAAGAATAAAAAGCCGATATCTTGTCCCTTTGGTCAGAGAGAGCCAGAAAAGTTTACCTTTGATATCGTCAAGGCCGACAAGATATTTGATCTTCTGCTTCAAGAGGGCCAAATTAAGTCATTACCTAATCATGTGATCCCATCGGCGAGAAGAGTTGAAGAAGATCTTGTAATCTTTATAAATGGCACAATGCAACTTCACACAAGACAAATGAGTGCAAGGTGTTCAGAAAATTGATTACAATCGGCTATTGAATCAGGAGAATTAAGTTTGGTACTTCCAAGGCCCGAAGCCGATGAAAATTGATCAACACCCTTTTCCAAAAAATATGTTGGAGGCCAAAGGGAAGACCAAGGTATTGACGTCGAGGTCTGCTGAGAAAAAACGCATCGTGGATCCCCAACATCGGATAACTACCGATGATGCAAAAAGTAAGGGTTTGCCGGGGAGAAAGCGATGAGTTCAAAAACCCTCCTCGACCGGCATTGTGATTACCCATCGAAGGCGGCAGGAGGGTTGGCGTCGGTAAGGACCGATATCGACAACAACAAGAAGAGAGACGTCGGAAAGAATGGTATCGGCATAAAGATCATTGGAGGTGCCGTTTTTCATCCATTCTTTGGGAAGAAGGTATTAAATTGCCAATCGCTGAAAATTGCCCCGAGTGCAATGGTTATTATGGGGTCAATCGGTCGAAAAGGAGGTTTCAACTCGGCAATCGTGGTTTATTTATCAATGAGCCGATCGAGGCGAGCATCGATGCATGATCGGTCAAAGCGAACTTAGTGTACATGAGAGGCTTGGTAAACGCCTTACCGGATATTTTCCAAGGAATCAAGAGGAGCTTGAGGAGATGGCAAACGCAAGAGTTCCCAATGAAGAAATATTCTACAGGGACCCTAATATACGCCGTGTAGAATCAACTAGGACCTATTATCAACCGGTTTAGAAAACCAAGTTTCCTCGATGGTGCCCGGAGGGTCTGACAAAGACACAGAAAAGGAGGATGCAACGTGAGCATCAGGAGGATTTATACCGAGAGGAAAATTCCTCCAATGAGAGGTCCGGTCATCGGCGCAAGGCGGGTAAAACACAAAAATAAGGGTCCATCGGCAGATGTTAATATGGTATTCATGTTGTCGATGGAGTTTTTGGCACTATCTGATAATGAGGAAGAAGTTGTTCTCTTTGATCAAGTAGCTTAGTTGACACTAGATCCAATGATGGCTGTTTTTGAGAAACCTACCGATGACGAGAGACAGCATCTTAAGGCTTTGTTTATGAAAGGCAGAGTTGATGGGCAGCCTGTATCTAAGATACTTATCGACGGAGGGGCTGCGATTAATATTATGCCTTATGTGATGTATCGAAAACTTGGTAAGGGAGATCAAGACTTGACCAAAATCGATATGACGCTGAAGGATTTTGAAGGCAATGTGTCACCGGCTAAAGGGGCAGTATGCGTTGAATTGACCATCGGCAGCAAAACCTTGCCAACGACATTCTTTGTTATTAATGGCAAGGGTTCATATAATCTGCTTCTAGGGAGGGATTGGATTCATGCTAATTGTTGTGTTCCTTCTACAATGCATCAATGCCTCGTACAGTGGATTGGGGATAAGATTGAGTTTGTCCCTGGTGATTCTTCTTATATCATCGCATCGGCAGAATTAGATAATTATGAGCGAACTAAATGCATATCAGGAGAAGTTTGGGAAAAAGAGTTCCTTAGAGTTGCTGATTATGAAATTCCACCGATCCAAGCAGTCGGTTCTGAAGAAGAGTTTTAATGGATAGGTTTGCCGATGATGGAAAATTAGGTCAAGGGTTCACATCGGCAGATGATTTAGTAGAAGTAGATATTGGTGATGACGATGGGCCAAGACCTACTTTTATTAGTGCTAAGTTAGATTCCAAGTGTA